ACAATAATTGGAAAAAATATGGACCATCCATTGGACAAGATCGAACAGTGAAAAAATAGGACATACACAACTGAAAGTACCAGAAGGTACCAAATAGGTAGGGATAGTACCAAATTAGATGGGACCAGTACCAAAATATGTGGGCAATATTTATTTTTCATTTTATATTTTATTTTTTAATAAAGGTAAATCAGTCATTTCAGTAAAGGGCAAAACTGAGATCTTCTATGTCATCTCTATCTGAATCTAAAGTTCTAAACCAATGCTGTGTCCGCTGGCTCCCATCCCAGCGCCGCAGTGCGGCACCCACAAGCCCCGCAGCCACCGTTGCCGTCCCCCCGCAGAGGCCTACTGCGACTTCGCCGAGTTCGCCGGCCTGCGCCGTGAGACAAGGTGCTCTAGAGGCCACCTCCCGGGCCCCGTAGACGGAGCAGCAGCCGTAGCACCCCGGCGGGCTCATAGGTTCCGACGCACCGCAGACCGAGCTAGCGTCCGTGCCGGCAGTCTCTGCAACACCCTGACATAGGAGACGCCGCCTATCGAGCCGGGACAGAGACCCTAGAGTTCACGGAATTGTTGCGCGGAGACAACTATTTGGTACGCTTGCGTGCTGCCCTGCTCCATCGTTTCATGATTCATGGACGACGACGACTGCAAGCTAGAATACTTGTTCTTGCTCTTCTCCCCTTGTACTCTTTTATCTGTTCTTGTTTTCTTTTTCCCTTTCCTTCGCGTGGACATATAGGACGATGTAGCTGGTATTTTGCTGTGTATTAATGCATGTAAATTACTACAGAGGCACGATTGGTACGCTTGCTCCAGTCTACTCTGAAAACCTCGATCAGACACCTAATGGATACGCTTGTTTTAGAAAGGCACAACCTCAATTACTAATATACCCTCTATAATATATTTCTCAATTAATTACTTAGAAAATAGAAAAAAAATGAAAGTACGAGGTATCACGATACTTTTGCAACCATTGTAAACGACATGGTAGTTAATTACCAAAGCAAATCAGGATCCAAATTAATTACCTAAGCATATGAGGATCCATACATAATTATGTGTAATTTTCCTCAACAAAAAGTATCAGTTTTGTTGTGACACTAATACCCATTTCTTTCTTCAATAGTGATAATGTATTGCTTGAATCATGCAGGTTAACCCTAACTCTATCGTCTTTGGTGGATGGGACATCAGCAATCTGAACATGGCCGACGCCATGGCCAGGGCCAAGGTCCTAGACATTCACCTTCAAAAGCAGCTCAGGCCCTACATGGAATCCATGCTGCCACTCGCCGGCATTTTCAACCCAGACTTCGTTGCCGCAAACCAAGGTGCCCGTGCTAACAATATCATCAAGGGCACCAAGAAAGAGCAGGTGGAGCAGATCAAGAAGGACATCAGGTACTTAAATCCTTAAACTCAAAACATAGAATACTGTCACAAGATAGAAACCGAAACCCACAATGGTGAATTCGTTGTCTCAAGAAAAATATTAGTACTCCTCTTTTTCCGAATGAGGATTGTTATGAACTTAATCATGGGGCCGGTTCATGAACTATGTAGGGAGTTCAAGGAAAAAACCAAGGTCGACAAGATAGTTGTGCTATGGACAGCAAACACCGAGAGGTATAGCAATGTAGTTGCTGGGCTTAACGACACCGTGGACAACCTCTTGGCTTCGTTGGACAAGAATGAAGCAGAGATCTCACCATCCACCTTGTACGCAATAGCCTGTGTTTTTGAGGGTGTTCCATTTGTCAATGGAAGCCCTCAGAACACATTCGTGCCTGGTGCGTAGCGCTGCTCTACAAAATTCTACATGTGTATCCAGTGTTGCATTCCTCGTTCCATGCTTGTAGTAATGTTCTGTTCATGCACAGGGCTGATGGAGCTTGCCATAAAAAAAAATTCGTTGATAGGAGGCGACGACTTCAAGAGTGGGCAGACCAAGATGAAGTCCGTATTGGTCGATTTCCTCGTTGGTGCTGGGATTAAGGTACCATCATATATACTCCTTGTCTATTGCTGGAATGCTGGGAGCCTGGGATTAAGATGAATTGTCTTTGACATTCAAGAATAATCGATCTTTATTGGCATATCGGATAATAAGGTGGATTTTTTTTTGTTTGTTTGTTTGTGCTGTTGTAGCCCACCTCAATTGCTAGCTACAACCACCTAGGAAACAATGACGGCATGAATCTCTCTGCCCCACAAGTCTTCCGGTCTAAAGAGATCTCCAAGAGCAGCGTGGTGGACGACATGGTTGCTAGCAATCCCATCCTCTACAAACTCGATGAACATCCTGATCACGTAATTGTGATCAAGGTTCGTTCACTAGTTGTTTGTGTGACTGAGTCTATCCATGCTACTTTATGTTTGGTTGTTACTCAAAGTTGATCCCTCCTTTGCAGTACATCCCCTATGTGGGTGATAGCAAGAGAGCTATGGACGAATATACCTCCGAGATCTTCATGGGTGGCAAGAACACCATCGTGCTGCACAACACCTGCGAGGATTCGCTTCTCGCTGCGCCGATAATCCTTGACTTGGTGCTCCTAGCTGAGCTCAGCACTCGGATTCAGCTCAAGGCCGAAGGGCAGGTAATAGATGACGGACCAGATTAATCTATGCTTCACTGCATAGCGTAAATGCTGCACTAACTAATGTGTGAATGAAAATTATTGACATCGTTCTCCCTTTGCTCTTTGTGCAGGATAAGTTCCACTCCTTCCATCCCGTCGCCACAATTTTGAGCTATCTCAGCAAGGCTCCTCTTGTAAGCTTTTCATTTTGTTTGCAATTGATACAATTTTTTGTCATCATGTTTATATTGGCCTCTAAAAATGGAGTATCAAAGAATTTAGAATCAAAGCATCATGATTGTTTTTGTTGTCTATTAATGCATGTTATCAAATGGTTTATATTAGGAACAGAGAAAGTTGGTAAGGCAATAGTAAATATGAGAATGTATGTTCGGAAGTAAGCCTAGCTCAACCGGTTGGGTAGAAGGTGTGGTCGTGCACCCAACCACCTAGGTTTAAGTCCTCTCTCAGTTTCAATTTGGGGTCTATTTTCTCTTATTAATGAAAAACGCCTAGTCCCTTCTAGGTTAGATCTAATTTTGAGAATGTAGGTTGTTCATAACTACAGAATTACAGTTAGGATTGTCCTGCAGTTTAGTTGCTCAGAAAGATTTATAATGTATTCTCAATTCAATATGTGTTCATGAAATTGATAGTAAATTGGTTTCTTAAACAGGTACCCCCTGGCACACCAGTGGTGAATGCTCTAGCCAAGCAGAGGGCCATGCTGGAGAACATCTTGCGGGCCTGCATCGGCCTTGCCCCTGAGAACAACATGATGCTTGAGCACAAGTGAAGAGTTTCACATCCCCTAATGACCACAAGATAGGATGGATGCAAAGGAGGGATCAAGCGAAGGTGTGGGAATAATCCGCCTCCTCTGAGCCCAATGAAGAAATAACAGGAGGCCACAGGAAGGAAAAGTGTAAGGAGGAAGATCAAGCATGGATGATGCCACATAGATTCTCTTGGACGGCTCTCTGTTCTTTATTTTTTAGATTTAGATTTGACTCATTTTTGGTACTCATGAGCTAGATTGTGTACATGCTATATATCCACTGTATGCAGCATGAAACCTTTATTTATTTGTTGTGTGATAGAGCTTATAGAAGTATCAAGCCTAATTAGTTGATTAATATTTTTAATTGATGGTTGACGAACACATTTGATATGTAGTAGATGATAGAGATATCAATGGGGCTTGATTCCTAACCGAGAATTCCCAATGGAGGCAGGGCCAACTTTTCGCCATGGGTATTCAAACACATGGATGGTTCACTATCCTCGGTCCTAAATCCCCAGTGTCTCCGTCCCATTTTTCATATACGCATTATGGTGTGTTTGTTGTGTAGTATACTAGTCTGTATATTTGTGTTGTGTGTCAAATCATCAATTACACCTTATGCTGAAAAACTAAAACTTACTTTTATATCAAATTCAAATTGTCATCTATATTCTGTGATGTATCGATGAGGACGAGAATCCTACAGGAATTATTTTCGGTGTTGGAATATGGATGGGGACGACATCTCTACTGCAAATTTCAGTGGGAACAGAGACATTGATTTTTTTCTTCCTGCTTGGACAGAGACGGGAGCCATTCCCCCAACATTGAAGAATTCCCTATTGGCATCGTCTCTTAGAAGTTAGAACCTTCCTCCCAGAACCAAAGAAAGGCTCGCTGTCAAAAATTGTACCAGAAAAATATGTCAGACAGAGAGCCAGCCGCGTACAGAACAGGCAAAAGTATGGAACTTCGGAAGAAAGTGCAGATCTGTATCTATTGTAGGGTCAGCATGGCAGCATCCGTACCAGACATGGCTCACGAGTTCGCCTACAATTACAGGCCATGCCCTTGGTCAGTTGTTGATCCACCTTTGCTTATAAGCTCGCAGGGCAAACTGATACGAATGCTGAATGCAGAAGGGGATGGTAAATACAGTTGCCAAAACTACGGTATATTAACTTTTTTACTTTAACTTTGCAAGTTACAATCAGTATTGCTTATGAATGTTCAGTTCCTATCGACAGGTTCTTGCATACATGACATTGGTACACTGGCAAGGGCAACATCTAAATGCCCTATATTTTCATAGCGAAACCAAAAATAAAAATGCTGCGCCGGTACACTGGCAAGGGCAACAGGGAGGAGCTTCGCTACAATGCTGTTGTCCATTGGCTATTGGCCCGCCTATTGATGATCGAGCACGGTGTATGATGCTCATGCATAGGCCCCTGAACGTTCCAGAAATCACCACATAGCTGCACTTCTAGCAGTATAGGATACTGATGGGGCAACCCTCTTGGTGTTGAGCTTCCACAAAACATGAGCTTCTTCTCTGCATGCAGTCATCTTATCTTATCTTATCTTATACTATAACTTAAATTTCATATGTCTTATACTATAACTTAAATTTCATATGTCCGGACAATTGATACAACAACGGCTATGTCATCAAGTTTGCCCCCACTGAAGCCAAGGTACCCAAACGACAGAGCAGCATCTGAAAATGGGCTTCTCCCAGCTCCAGACCTCCCTACTTCCTGGGCCTTCGCAGCCAAGTGTTCTGCAATCTCCTGCAAGTAGAACAACCATTGCAATTGAGTCATTTTGTTTTGCATTGGACATTTTTATTTACGAAGATAGTTGATTCTGACCGCTGGTTTTAGATCTGCCTGTAACGACTTGGAGATAATTCCAGCTATTTCATGCTCGTATACATTATCAAAAAGGCCATCGGTTGCCGTCACAATTGCATCACCTTCCTTTAGATCAATAGTATAATTCTGAAACAAGAATGAAATAATAGCCCAAACGTTAATATTTAACCATTCATGTGGTTAAATACAATTACCACGGTTGGTCATTGTTTGCACCTGTACAAGCTTTAAGGGGTCATCTCCCTTCTCAATTTGTAGTGGGAAATTGAAACCATAAACCATAGGTTTAGACTTTTTGAACACTTCTCCATTTCTTATCACCAGAAACCCAGAGTCCCCAATATTTGATGCTTGAAGGACCTGTAACATTGACAAGTGCAGTGAGCACCATGAAAAAGGTCAATAAAGAAAATGGGAAAGTGTTCATCGAAAAAAACAGACCTGGCCATCAAAGTGAGCAACTAATACAGTGGAAGAACCAGGTGAACATGCTTCATCTGCTGCTTTGGAAAGAATTTGCTCCGGCCTAAGATCTGGAGCCCCTTGATTCTCAGTAATAAACTTTTTACAACCATCCATTAGTTCTCTTGCATAAAGCCCTGCGTTGATTCCTGAGCACAGAACTTACATCAGCACTCGCTGTGGTTTCCAACTTTGAAATTTTGACGAATAAATTATGGTTGGAGCCTTAACCCTTGACATTTTAGAATTTCATTCTCCTAGAGTATGATGCTAAAAGCAGCCTTCAAATCCTTAATTGATTCTATAGCAAGCAAGTTAGGATCTTTTAGTGTAATACAGTAGTTTTTTTGTGGGAGGAAGTAAAGTGTGTAGTAGTAGATACACTGAAATCTCGAACCTCTTGAAGGCTAAAGCTTTAGAATTGTTTAATTAAATGGGTAAAAGCAAATGTGATTATCGCAGCTTCATGGTCATTTTCTAAGCCTTGACATTTCTGGTCTTGTCATTAATCCTGTATTTGATGGCAATTGATTCAAATCACTTTGCATTGAACTGGCTGAAACTATTATAAACTAAATGCAATGAAGCTTAAAATGATTTTCACTAAGCACTTGCATATAATTTACATTAAAACAAAGAATTTAAATTCTCTCGAATTTTGACCCTTAGGGTTTGTTTGGATGTAGATATACAGGGACATGGAATTGTAATGGGTTCAATACCAAATCAGCCTTGGTATTGAATTTGGCCATGATTCAAATTTTGTTTGGATGACTATTAAATTGGTTTTTAGAATCATAGAAAGAGGCGATGTTCGTATGGAAAAGGACAAGGACCACCGACCACGGGGAAGAACAGAGGGGCTCGCCGACCTTAGGCCACGGACACGAAGAGAAGGGCCCACCGGCCGCTGGCCATGGGGAAGAAGGGAAAGGCACGCCAGCCACCGGCCATGGGGAAGAGGGCGGAGGTGCATCGGGGGCGGCACATCAGAGTTGGTGGCGCGATTGGCAGCGCATCGTGGGCGGCTTGTCAGGGCTGAAGTCGTGTTGGGATTCCAATTCTGAATTCTTAACCATCCAAACAGCTGCATTATGAGGTACTCAATACCAATTCAAAGTTCTGAGGCTGAATATCTACATCCAAATGGGGTATTACAGATTTCCTAGCGGGATACAAAAAAAAAGGCAAGACCCAAAGTATGTTCAAGCCCTGTTTAGAACACGTTGCTTCAGAGTATATCCTATAATCCAGGTTGCTTCATAGTATGTAAGAACTTGGAATTTTCTTTCTTGTTGTATGTCAATGTAATGTCAGATTATTAGTTTAAGATTTCTCCACAGTCTATACATCGTTTACCCCTCCATCTCGTATCCACAGAACATTCAGTACCAAGTACTAATGAACATTCTGCTCAGCATCCTACTATTAGTTCTCCAATTAACATGGTCCACTCTCAGAAAATTTTGTTCCACACCTATTTGTTTTCTCTAAAGAATAAGAATCTCTATTAGTCTGACAGATAATGAATAGTTTCCTTGAAATGAACTGCTCTATCAACATAGAACTGCAGTGAGGAAACTTGGTACCCATAAGTCTGAGCATAGTTCATAAGGTTGAACTAACAATCAAAGCATGAAAAAAATGATGAGGTCTACCTTCAAGTGACCACTGGCCAACTCCATCTGCTACACCAAACCAGCCATTGGCTGCAATGAAAGATGCATCTTCTCCACCTGTTGCTACCTGGAAATGGGTATACAAATATCATAAGTTCATAACTCAAGCATCAGGAAAGTAAGGGTTAGGTTGGTCTTTTGATGATTTTTTTTTTCATCCTAAGGGAGTATTTCATAGAAAAGATTAGCATGTGAACTTTACATAACAAAGCAAGATAGGAATTGAGATCTCACAAGTAAAATTTCTTCTTGTCAATTAGTGAGAAGTAATAAATTGATTAAATATTTCACAAAATGACAAAAGCAGAATATGAAGACAGTTTTTACCTTTGAAGGATGAGGCAATATTGCAGCACCTGATGATAACACATGTGCCGAGTGAGCTACTGGAATCATCCTAGATGCGAATTGAAACATTAGAAAATGATATTTTTTAAGTTCTGAAATACAAGCATAGAGCTCAGGAAACCCTGTAAAATAGGTGTGAGATAATTAAATGAAGGAAAACCTGTGTCACATATAAAAACAGTAGAAGCCATTACAGAATAATTTATTACTGACAACTACATGGTTTGGAACACTTAAAATCAAAGTAAGACAGAGATTACCTATCAGAACTCTTGGCCTCTGAAGTGTCATTTTTCCAATCCGCCTTGTTGCTAACTTGTTCCTATAGGATGACATCAAGCACGTTAGTCCCAGACATGTAAAAATTCAAGTCCAATCCAATACTCCCAACAGATGTCCATACAATGACATAAATGCACAAGGTTTCTGCCCACAAGCCGCATAATGTTCACCATGATTTTGCCATTTTGTACACAAAGTCCACAGGCCACAGTATTTAAATAAAGGATACATATGTGTCACCTGATGTCGTTTAGTTGAAGGTGTGGTCCCTTGCAAGCTACAAGATATGGTCACAATGTGATGAACGAACCAAACAAAAATATCACGACAGCGATACATGATATAAAACATGATCTAGAATGTGAACAGAAGGGGAAAGAGACAGTATAACAGCTCATTCTTCCAAAAGTAAAATAAAGATATGGCTGTCAGTGAGCTTAAGAAATATGGAAGGAAAAAGGGGACTTTGCGACAAAAGCTTGATGTTTGTGTTCACAATTTTAGCAAGCATAGATGTTCTACTCAACAGCATCTTACAAGTTTCAATAGTTCTAAGTTTGCACTTCATCACAAGCATGAATCAAGTAGAACTCCACACTTAATTGAATGAACTCAATACCAGAAATTTACCATTATTTCAGTAAGAAATAACAAATTTTTTGGCAGTTGTTTAATTTTTTTTCCAGAATATCATCACTTCAGTTTAGTTATGGGAATGCATTTATGAAACAGAGTAGAAATTCATGATAAGTACAACAAACTACGCATCTAAGTTCAGAAGATTAGAGCACTTCATACCGGTGGTGGTAAGGAGACGCCGAACTCGGCTCTCTGCTCGTCGCTGCTGGACTCCGTCTCAACGTAGGTGTCGAAATCCTGCGCGGTGGAGCCTTCCGACGCGGCCTCGGAGTCCTCCAAACCGGCCGTCCCCGTCGCCTCATACAAGCCACCACTCACATCAACGGCAGCATTGGAACCCGCCTCCTGCTCCGGTGCCTCCTCGAGCGCGGCGGAAGTGGCACCGGTTTCCGAGCCCGCGTCAGGAGGTAGAGGTGTCGGCCAGGCCTCGGCTGCGGCATTCGGGCTCGGCGCCTCAACTCCAGCCGTGGCGCCCACTCGCGCGCCGTCTACTCCATGTTCAGAGTCAGGCTCTGGCTCCGTCTGACTGCCGGGCACAGCGCCCGAGGCATGGGCGACTCTAGAGTCAGGGCCGGTCTCTGCGGTCACTCCTAAATCTCGGCTCGCCGGCTCCGGCTCCAGCACCTCGGACTCGGACTTAGGATGTCCGAAGCGGAAGACGATGCTCCCGTCCGCCAGCTCTGCGCGCGGCGACAGCACATCCAAATCAGCGATCGAGACGAAGGGGAAGGGAGTGGAAAGCAATTAAGCAAATAACACTTACCGGTAGTGGAGTGGAGTTCGGGGACCGCACGGCGCCGGGACGGGGCCGTCGTAGCCGTGGCGGTTGCGTGCGTGCCGCGGCGCGCGGGGAGTGGCAGAGCCGCCGGCGGCGGCGGCTTCGGGGAGAGCTTGCAGTTGCGAAGGCCCATCAGCCCCGCCGCCAGCGGCAACTCCGCCATGGTTTGCCTCCTCTGTGTGTGTGAGAGAGAGAGATTTGAATGACAGGAGGCCTTCAGGTGTGGAATCGAATGGATTTACACGAGGCAACAAGAGAACAAATCAGTTGGGTGCTCGAGAGTTCTTGAATGGACGGTGCGGGTCGCTGGTCGGTGGGCCAGACGTGCAATGAAAGGTAATTTTAGAACCTGATTGGGGCCGAAAATGGGGTTCCTAGGTTCTCGCCCCTACTTTAAAGTGAAATTATGATTTTACCCTAATTTTTCTAACTTTATGATTTTATCCTTCGCTACGAGCAAGTCAACGTAATTTTGTCCATAGCCAACGGTCAAAATAGGGGCAAATTCATAAAGATCAAAGGTAAAATCGCGTTGACTTGCAATTAGTAAAAGGCAAAATTACAAAGTTAGAAAAATAAGAACAAAATTACAATTGCACTTCAAAGTGATGGGCAATAACACAAAAAAACCCAAAATGATACTGAATTAAGGGTTAATTTGGACCATGACATTATTTTGCTGCCGTTCAGTCGTATAATATGTTGATGGACATTACCAAAAATGAAATATATCTAGTACCATTAAGAAACCATGTCCATTTGCTCGAACAAACCATACCGATTATTTAATTCATTTTCAAATGAAATATATCTAGAGATCTCATATATCTAGTACCGTTAGAAAACCATGTCTACTTGCTCAAACAAATCGTATCGATTATTTAATTTATTTTTAAATTTTAAGAGAGATGGTTAGAGAAATATCCAAAGTACCCTTCTTCGACCTCCTGCTCTTCGATAATATTTGCCCTAACACATCACCGTCTCCGATCCATCACTGTCCTCCTTCGACCACTTGTGCGCCCAGTCGAGGGCCCCTGTGACCACCGTCGCCGTATTTGCCCGTGACTTATCGGCCCCTGTGACCCGGCCCCGGCGGCACTGGCCCCAGCGGCGCGGCCCCTGCGCCTTGGCCCCGGCGGACGCGGCTTCTCCTGTAGGGCAACCGAGCTCCGTCTTCTCTTCTCGGTGTGGTGCCCTGCATTGTCGGGTGAGGCAGCGCCGTTGAAGCTGAGGATGGAGTCGAGGCCGTCAGGGGCCGGAGGGGTGAAGCACGATCTGGGGAGATGGTTCTGGCTAAAGCAAGAGGCCACTGTGCCGCACGCCCGCGTCATGCGGGAGGGCATCAAGTCCTACTGCAATGGGGAGCACAGGCACCGGCGACAGAGAGTCACGGGCACAAGCAACGGCAACAGTAACGTCTAGAGGTTGAAGACAAGTGAAAAGGGTTATTTTATCCCTCTTTTATCTTTCTCCAAAACTGGGAAATGACAATTATAATCGGCCTGTTCGTTAGGTTGGTTTCTGGACCGATAAGTCTGACCGGTGCTGGTTTGTTGTGAGAGAAAAACACTATTGGTTGGCTGATAAGCTCTAGCTGAAACTAATAAGCAAACGGGCTGAATTTAACACCAACGGCATATATGTGAATCATGTTTTTAGTGGCCGATAAAAGATTTAGGTTTATGCCAAATAGTGCGTAAGAATTTTTTTCAAAAATCTACCAGTTTTATTCTTTACTTGACTTCGCTCACTAGTTGGTTGCTGGAGATACACCTGGTATGCATGAGTTCTCTATTGTTGGGGTTCATCTAAAGCCGGAAACCTACGTGTTTTTTCTAATGAAAAGGTGACAAGATTATCGTCTCAGAAGTGATTATATTAGATAGGTTGGTCTAAAGATCGTTTGTAGAATCGCAGTCTGAAAATGCGACCCAATTCTTGTCAATATTGATGAACAAAATGAAGGCGTGCCAAGTGGCTGAAAGATACCTCAGCGATAGCAACGGATTCAATCAGTAACCGGGATAATACTATTAGAGCCAACCGTCAGAGTCGATAACAATGGAGTTTCGAAACTGCAGTATTATTTTTTCAATGGAATATCAACTTTATCGCACCGGTTCAATGTTACCATGCTACTCCGAAAAACCGAAATATATTAATATATTAATTCTGACATTTCCTGCTGGCTGCTACAACTACACTTTATATATTGTTGTAAAAAACAAACTGTACACTTTATATATTAGGCTTATATGTATGTGATACAGATAGAAGTCAAACAATAATAATTGCAATTGGGGATCAATTTATTTTCAAGATGAATATTCCATGCATTCCAAATTATAAGTCGTTTTGACTTTTTTTTACATCTATTTTGCTATACACCTAGATATAATAATATATCTAGATATATAGCAAAATAGATGAACAAAAAAACCAAAGCCACTTATAATTTAGAACTGAGTGAGTAGGTCTTAATTGCATGACTGTTTTATTTCTTGTCAAACTCAAGAACACATGCAGCGGAGCTACAAGTTTTTTTGTTGTCCATAACAAGTCAATTCAAAGAAACTTACCTACTTCCCACGCAAGCTTTTATTCTTATCCATGTGAGGTTCTTTGGAAAGCTATAACTCGCCTAGTGAAGTTACAGCTCACCTTCACAAGACTACAAGACATTATTGAGATTTTTATTGCCATTACATTACATGGGCCATGTGCATGGATACATATCCATAAATCCCTAGAAGCCAATGCTGCAGTGCACTAATCTCTGGATCTACTACTACTACTCGTCAAGTAGTTGCAGTTAGATCTACTACTATGTTCTTTTTTAGTACTTGTAATGGAGTAATGCAGTAAATACTTTATCTGCAATACATGTAGTATGTGACTTTTTAGTACCTTTCCGTGAAAACATTTCAAGAATCACATTCACAATAAATATATTTTTCTATAATATATGTAGTAAAGTGTAGACATGTAGATGTATTAGGGTCTCTCCGTCAATATCTCACGATTTCTTGAGACATCTGAAAACCCGTTCCCAGCATGCAAATTACGTGTTATACTCCGTACTTTACAGAGAGACGTCCCAATGCATCGATGGACCATAGAAACAGTCATTTTTAGTCCGATCCGAGCCAGGACGACTCAGGATATATAATCAGTAGCAGCGTCAGCAATGGTATAAGAGAAAGAGTGGCCTAGTACACTCTGAATGAGATTTTTTTTATCTGTAAATCGGATTTAACTATGCGAGTCTGTTGTTTGGATCTTTATTTGTGGCTTACCCAGGTTACCTGGTAACAATAACATGAATTGTCCACTTGTATTCTATCTGTCTGCGCCCCAACTAACATGACGATTGCCCCAACCAACATAATTTAATAACGGAAAAGCTAAGGACAACCGAGTGTTTTGGCAGCTGATGACACATGAAATTTTCTGCCCGCTGGATCGCCATGGAGCATGCTATTTTTCTGGCCTCTCTCCCTCTTCTTCCCTAACTCTGTCAGGCTTAGAAGGGGTTCGGGGGAGGCATGCTGGCTAAGCGGTAGGGCCGACGGGAGGCCGACAGTTAGGGTTCCAACGGCGCAGGGCGTGGGCGCATGGCTATATGACGGCGGTGGGGGAGGGGAAGAGAGAGAAGGAGACCGCCGAGGGCGCGGTAGGGTCTCATCGGACCTCCGCGGCCGCGGTGGAGAAGCTGCCGCGGTGGAGAAGCTCCGGTGAGACCCTACCGTGTCGTGTCGGGAGGAGGAAGAAGACGTGATGAACAAAAATTAAGTGTTCTTGGGCCTCAGAACACTCTGAGTGTTCTATAGACAGACCATTTAATAATAAAACTAGCAATTGGGGTATGTATGTTGACACATGGATTTCTGAATTCCTTGGCAGTACTACTTCAAGAACTGCAAGGTTTGTCGTGTAAATAAAGAACTGCACGGTTTTTGCACACATTCACGGCAAAATTCTTGTGCACCGGCCATAAGTGCCAAAATTTGGATCTAAAAATATATATGTGTGTGCTGTGCCATCCTAGTATGCTCCTGTACCACATATACATAGCTTTCCTTTCCCCAGCTAGTACGAAAAGTGGGAAGGCAAGCAACATTTGTCCTAGGGAAGAGGGCATGCTAACATGTGAGTGAGCATTTACATGTGCACTTTTTGCTGTCTGTGGCCAAGTGGGGGAGATGGCGATCTGGCTTGGAAAGTTGGATAATTAAAAGGTGTTGAAGTGGATCTCAGATCATGGATCTCATCTGTACCATGGAAAGTCGGATAATGGCTCTACTAATTAGACTAATAGTACTTTTGATTGACTGAAGAAGGGTTTTTGCATGCCCACGGAATTCCTAACATGTACACAGTGACGATGCCATACTCCCATAAATCCCGACTACCGGATATGCTGGCTACCGAATCCGTACCGAAGAAGACACGAAGGCTCACGACTCAATCGTTCAGGGAAGGATATCTCAAGATTACGCCAAGACTCTGACTATGGCACGACTACGTAGCTTGTAGGGCAAGTAGGCCTTCGATATAAATAGCTAGTCATACCCCATGTTGTAATCATCAAAACTTTCATAGGCATAGCCATCTTGTAATCGCCATCTCGCTATTCGACGAGATCGTAATACAAACAAGTAGCAACTGGACGTAAGGCTTTTACTCGCTTCCCGGGAGCCCGAACCAGTATAAAACTCGTGTCTCGACTGTGATTGCTCTTTGCACCAAGCGAGTTCCTCCAAGAACCGAATATCTGCTGGTAAAAAACACCGACAGAGGTGCGCCAGGTAGGGGGATTTCGCGTAAAGACTGATCTTGCCGATCTTCAACAACACTTGCGTTCAAGATCTGATTGCTTTTGACGCAACCATCTGGCCAAGCTCCATCAGATCTAAGGCAACAGGAGAAATCCTCTTGTTCCCTCGACCTTGGTCAATGTCCCGCTACGTGCCACTGTGCCACCGTCTATCTGCTTTGGGAGTTTGGTATTCGAGCACCAGGAAAACATCGACCATTCACTCATCAAGGCACAAGGGCCCGATCCAATCTATATGGAAACCGTCCCGATTGGCTCGTCCTTGGATCAAATTTCAATTGAACAGGATGGTGGGTACAGTTTCGATTTCTATATCTCGAAGG